TTGGGGCCGTGGAATCCGCTTTGAGAATGCTTTTTACAGGCTGGCAGGTAAAGTGTAAGCAAACCAAATAGGTCACAGCAGGTGTCAGTAGTATTGTTGACTGGGTCTGTGGTGGAGGTCGTGCATGCAAAGACAAGTCCCAATACAAAGTCAAACATACCTGCAAGAATCTGCATAGTACCGATCACGTTGATGAGCGGTTGGCTGTCTACTTTGCACAGTGCACAGTACAGAAGAAGGCTGCGTACTTTCGAATGTGGGCTCTTGGCTGACCCCGTTGATGACAATTCCAGATATCTTTCAGCTAGCCTAGATGCAATACTGGAGCTGACTATATGGAGTCTGAGGAGAGTATTAGAAGCGATAATGACTTCAGAAGCAGTCATCCAGGACACATCAATGATCTTCGATAGTCCCCGGCTAAAGCGCTCTGTGGTGCAACGACATTGAGATACCCGGATTAAAATCCATAGGAGTTCGACTTGCTTAGACGTATCCCAAGCATGATCAGGCAAGTTAGCAACACGATCCAGTACCGAGATTACCAGTTCGGTGATGTTGCCATTCTCCTCAATGGAATGTTCGCATAGACGCAAAATATCTTGCAAAACTGAAACAGAGTATATCTCATTCACGTGACGCTGAATCAGACAGCGCCGGGACATCAGGTGATCCGAGCAAAATCTGCCTGCCGGTAGCTCTTTCTTCAGAGCAATGATAGCACCCACAGCATCAAGGACATGACTTGTTTTGATGGTATGGGTGTTTCTCGCTGTATCTACTGCCGTCTTGTTCAAGGAGTACGTACGCACTGCTGGCCTGGTTGGCTGTTTCGTAGTGACCGCTTTCGTACAGGACGGGTCAGCTTGAACCAAACTGTCGGCTCTTGGAGTGAGTTCGCGCAGAGAAGAAATGGGCCATATGACTTTATCCCGGACTACATTTAGAAGGCGCTGAAGCGACATTCTGCTGAGTCAGAAAGTCACTCATCACATGGGTCTGCTGGATAGCTTTATGCAACAAACTGCAAACACAGAGTACAGACACACAGACAGACAGACACACACACACACACACGCACGCCCGCACGCACACGCACACACACACAAGCGCACGCGTACACACAAATACACGTGTCACAAAGAAAGAGTGCTCAATATGGTGGATTAACAACGAGACAGAAAGAATGGACGCTGCTACTGCACAACGTCATGTTAACTAAAACAGAGACATGTATTTAAAACTCACAGCATGTAATGTTGCTGAACACACTGCATACAATCAGTATATACGTTCTGAGTTGCAGGCAATCCCTAGTTACAGGAAGCACCCGGTCCCAAACTGCCCGGATTAGGGGAGTATGGGCAGTGCCCGGTCCCAACCTGCCCGGATTAGGGGAGTATGGGCAGCGCCCGGTCCCAACCTGCCCGGATTAGGGGAGTATGGGCAGTGCCCGGTCCCAACCTGCCCGGATTAGGGGAGTATGGGCAGCGCCCGGTCCCAACCTGCCCGGATTAGGGGAGTTTCACTGTAGGACCGAGGCACATCGCCAGTACTTGTACATGTGAACCATATATGACTGATTATGGCACATACATGTACAGTCAACTTCGCTAATAACGACTGCGGATATAACGACAGAATTTCCATGCCCAGAGCAAAGTCCCACCTAACTGTAATACATAATTATAATGAGACTTCGGATAAAAGGACACTTCGCGAATAAGGACACTTTTCTGATGCCCCGCCGAGTGTCGTTATACGCAAAGTTGACTGTAGTACACATCCTTGCTGCACGCCTTGACATGGTGTGTTCCGAATGGAGACGCTCAGTGTATCTCCGAAGCAATATCATTCGCACGCATGCATGTGTGTGTGTGTGTGTGTGTGTACGTACGTACACGCATGTTCATGCCTGTGTGTGTAAAATTATGTGTGTGTACGCGCGTGCGCATGTGTGTGTGTCGTGGCAAACACGAGACACATTTATAATATCATATAGGTGGAATGCTGATAACCCCAAATTGCAAGGGGGAAACGTCTAAACATCAGGGCATTCTAAGTATTCAAGCATGTGCCCACAACACATGTACAGTGGACTCCTGATATAACGAACATCATTGTCCAGGAAAATTAGTTCTGTATAGCCGAAGTTCGTTAACAGAAATGCACTCACACTATACAAGCGGTAAGTCAAGACTGACAAGTGGCCCAAGACAGCATGAGTGCACTTGGTTTACATGCGGCCCTACAAGATTTGGTTCGTTACAAACGAAAACTGTTTGTTAATAAAAGGGCTCAACATTTTGTATGGGTTCAAACAGAGACATGGACAGGGATTCGCTATATTATCACAAAATTCGCCATATGTGAGTTCGGTGTAAGTGGAGTCGACTGTAGGTACGGCAAAGTGCTTGCACAGATACGCTGAACTGCGATACGTACTATAGACACAGCTATCGTGCACTCTGACCCGGCCAGAACGGCCTGCGCACGTGAGTCACGCACACTGAACTAACCAGTGCGGTGTACAGTGGACTTTGAACTACGCCTTGCCAGCTAGCTATCGATACCGCTTTAAAATTCCAAACACTACATATAAATCACAGGGTTATGATTCCACGAATGTTTAAAAAAATGCCTTGCCAGCTTCAAGTTATCAGCAAGAATCACACACACTTTTTTATGTCTGTGGATACCACGGCACATGCTGCACATGCCTAGTTAGAGGCTAGAGATGTGAGAGTCCCGTTGTCTGAAACCGGTCGTGGAAGAAAGCTCTTATGAAGCGGCATGTTCGAATTCAGCCACATTCAATGATAGAGTTGTCAGGATGAACTCGAAGTACAACGCCAAATAATTATATACAGGTACATATACACGACTGCCGGGAACAATAACAAAAAAAACCCCAAGAAGACTCAAACAACTCCCTAGTATAATGAGGGTCAGAACCAGGGCTAACACCCATACGGTTCAAATGGTCGCAAGACCGGGGCTCTGCCAACCGTGGATGGTTGTAGTATGGTACAGTCAACTTCGCTTATAACGACACTCGGCGGGGCATCAGAAAAGTGTCGTTATTCGCGAAGTGTCCTTATACCCGAAGTCTCATTATATGTATTACAGTTGGATGGGACTTTGCTCTGGGCATGGAAATTCTGTCGTTATATCCGCAGTCGTTATTAGCGAAGTCGACTGTATACATGTACACTGTTTCCGAGCACAGTGTGCCCTCCGCCTTGTAACATGCTGCGAACCAACAACAGGTACATATATGTACACACGCCGGAGGCGAAGGGTCTGCTTAGCTGCATATCGCTCTGCACATTTGTGTAATGAGCATTCTATCCAAGCTGCCTTGACCGGCCTTGTTTATATACATGTACATAACGCTGTACATGTACAAATGTGGCCGCTGTACTGGATCTCACACAACTCCATCGACCCCAAAGAAAGACCACCCAAGTGTTGGTTGGCCATGTGTCTCATGTGATTGGTGGACATGTTCAGGAAATTGATGTTTGTTAAAATTGTTGTGCAGTGTACAGGACATAGCAGAGTGCAGGACGGCGTTAGTATCAGAGCACATGAATAAAAACAAAGTCACGCACCACAGACATATGTGCGAGTAAATATTTCAGCATTGAACCGTGACTACAGTTCATATTCAGTTGTCCCTCTCTAAGCCAGCATTCGATAATCAGGAACCCTTGCAAACCGGCGAACTTTCTGCCAAAACGGGGCGTTTTCAGTTCGTTTTCTACGCTTCACCAGCCGGTGCTGTATCGGTCCGTAGTTCTCCAAGCTGCTCAGCCTCAGGTGCACACGATTCATCGCCCAGCTGCGCATACCTGCGGCCCCATGACGGCTTTCTCTACTCCTCTTCATCTTGTATTGAGCGTCTAGCCGTATGGTTAGATGAGAAAGTAGAAACGACTGTACAGTGAGACCTGTCTAAGACGACCGCTCAAGGGACCTTCAAAACGTGGTCTCAGATACCAGGTGGTCTCCTTATCCAGGGTCATTTGACTGGAAATAGCATCCCTTGGTGCTGGTTGCAGTGGTCTTCTAGGACAGGTGGTCGCCTTATCCGAGTGGTCGCCTTTACAGGTTTGACTGTATTAATGTACTGCAAACCGCCCAATGTTTACGTCACTACATGTTTGCGATCTCTCAGAACCAGCGAGTGTACGATGGCGAATGTTTGCGGAGCACTGGGGCCACACGTATACACCCACTGTTGCAGTTTGATTTCACGGTGGTTAATATTTGCATTATGCTCTTCTCGCAAGATTAGCAAACATTAGTACGTCGCAAACATTAGGCTGTTTACGGTATCTGGTGAAGTAAAATAAAAACGAACAAACTCTGGAGTAACAAGGCCTTTGCCCCTGCAGTTTTCTTCTTTTTCTTATTCTGCTCTACAGCCTTGCTTACTGAAATCCAGTCGCGTCACTCAAGTTTGTGCCTTGCACCATTTTCTCAGCCCAGTGTCCGCAGGGCTAGGGCTGTGCAACGCCCGGCGTGTCACGTGACTTGAGTGACACGACTGGATTTCACTGAGCAGCACTGTGCTGAGTACATGATCGGTGTGGGGATTTTTTCTCGTACGATGTGCAGCGTAACCGTGAAAATGATAACTAGCACACACGGAAAATTCGCTGTGCCTTCTGCGCGGAACACATGAATTGCTCGCACTCGCATTAGAATATGACCAGTACAGACATGTACATGAGAACATGACTACATCATACATGCCACAGTGCATTGTGCCACTATAC